AAGCCATGTGGAGACTGGTAGGAGGGGCGGAGATGCAGAAAGGGCTGGTCCCAACACTCATACTAAACAAAATGTCTTTAAAACAAAGGCTATAACAAGAGACAAAGAAGGACCCAGTAATCCCACTTCTGGGTATTTATCTGAAGAAACCCAAAACACTGATTTGAAAAGACATGTGCATCAATATGTTCATTGTAGCATTATTTACAATAGCCAAGATATGAAGGCAATCTAAGTTGTCCATCAATGGATAAATGGATAAAGTAGAGGTGATTTTTGTAGATAATGTAATATAGCTCAGGCATGAAAAAGAATGAAATCTTGCCATCTGCAACAACATGGATGGACCTAGAGGGTATTACGCTGAGTGGAGTCAATCAGACAGAGAAAGACAAATACCATATGATTTCACTTATATGTGGAACCTAAAGAACAAAATAAATGAACAAACAAAATAGAAATAAACTCATAGATACAGAGAACATTTTAAGGGTTGCCAGATGAGAGGGGGTTGGGATGATAAGTATAAAAGAGGGAGGGATTAAGAAGTACAAATTGGGGCCGGCTGAGTGGCTCAGTTGATTAAGAGCTCACTCAAGAGTGTGAGCTCTGAGCAACAGTGGTTCGATGCCTGGCCCGAGCTGAGCTGCCGCTGAGCTGCCAACAGGTGGCAGGATGGCTCAGCCTAAAAAAAAAAAAAAAAGAAGTACAAATTGGTTGTTACAAAGTAGTCATGGAGATGTAGGGTATAGCATAGGGAATACAGTCAATAATGTTGTAATAACTATGTATGGTGTCAGATGGGTACTAGATTTACTTTGGGTATCACTTTGTAAGTTATATACATGTCTAATCACCATGTTGTTCATGTGGAATTAATATAATATTGTATGTCAATTGTAATTGAAAAATAAAAAATTAAATAAAAGCTAAGTTAAAAAAAACAATTGTAAACATTTAAAACATCCCTTATACCTGAAACTAACAATAAAAAATTAAAATAAATAAAGAAAGAAATAATAAAACACCCCTTATAGTTGGGTCTTTCTCTCCAGATGCAAATACATTTAGTTTCTCTCTGATATTTCTTATGTAACATGCTTCTAAAATTCAGGAATATACTAAATAAAGACTAGTATGTTTTCCAATCCAACTCTCTGTGAATAGACTTTCCACGAATTTACTTCTCTCATTCCTTGAACAGTTATGTTTAAGCTTGAAATTTTGGCTTTCAAGATTATCTGCTTCCTTACCATTGCATTTCAATAATGTGAACTATTCAGATACCAAGTAAAAAATGTTTAAAGAAGTCCTTCCTCCTTACATTTTCACCTCCATGCAGTGATGCTCCTTTCCTATTTGTGACTCCAAGGTAAGGTGGAACGTGATAGACCATTTTTGGTGTTGAGAGACTACACGTACTGACCATGGCTAAGTCAAGCTTATTCATCTCTCCAGGCCTCTAAGCATGTGAAGGTTGTTTGGGTCAAAGATATATCTTGTCTCAGGGTTTTACTTTTCATTATTCTCAGTGATTTAAAATTTGGAATTTAGTAACCGTAAATTCAAAACCGAGACACTTGTGCCACCAAAGCCAAGCCTGTGGCATGGTGTTTCCATATCTAATGACATAAAGTTTCCAAATCTTTCACCACCAGCCTTCCCCATTCATCAGTCTTTTCTCACTCTGCTGTAGTGGAAAAGGCTTTAACATTATTTGCAAGTAATACTTATTTTCAACATATTAATGTAAAGGCTAGGCCATAATACAAAGTCACAATTTACTATACTCCACACATGTGTATTCTTTCTCTTCCTTTCAGTTTATTTTTTCTTTTCTTTTTTTTTTTAAAGATTTTTATTGGGGAATTGGAGGAGGGGAACAGCGCTGGGGAATTGGGGGAAGGGGAACAGACAAATTGCTGTCCTTTTGTTCTTCAGTCTAGTTGTGGAGGATGTTGCTTCACTGACCAAGTTGGCACCATCATTGCACTCTTCCCAGATGAGGCACATCAGTCACCGGCTTCTGGACGGCCACTCATGGTGGCTGCTGGCTACACATGGTAGCCCATGGCAACCCACTGCAGCAGGGGATGCAGCCTATGCCAGTTGCTGCTGACTCTGGGAAGCCCAGCTCCAGGTTGAGCTGTTGTTTAGCATCTTAGCTGTAGAGGGCAGTGTCACTGGCCCTCATATATGGGATCCGAATCGGGGCCCTCTGGTGTCCCAAGCCAGGTCTTAACCAACGTGCCACTCGGCCGGCCCAGTTTATTTTTTCTCATTCATTGATTCTATCACTTTTTTCCTCAGAGTTCTCTATCTGCTTGTTAAACAACTTTAGCAGCCTCTTCCATCTCTATTTGTGTAATTGCTGTGTTGATATTCCCTACGGGTATGGGTACATTGTGGTTGTTATATTTTGTGTGCCCTTAAAGCCTTAGGTGATGTGTTCCACATCAAGTTTTGAGAAGTTTCCCCTTTCTTCTTAACCAAAAATATTTTCAAAGCAGTAATTTCAGAGTGGATATGTATCCACTTCTACTTTTACAGAAAATGTTGAAAGGAATCTGGGAGAAATCATGATCAGACTAACAGAGTTGGAAGGTAGTGAGAATTACCTAACCTAGCTTACTAACATGTGAGAAAATCCAGGCACAGAGGGTTTGAGTGGCTTGCTGAATAACACACAGTAGAGAGAAACATGGAGGCAGGATAAAGGAAAGGCCTGCGTGAAGTGTATGCTTCTGGATGAGCAGCAATGACTATAAGGCTGATCTTATTTTCAGTTCATGGCTATTGTGACCACAAAGAGGATTCTGGCCAGCCTAAATTGGAAGGTCAATGAACAGAGAAAGTTTTTTTTCCACAAGACATAACTCACTGTCCAGGCTAGTTAAAAAAAAAAAAAAGGGTCATCTATCATTATTCTCACCGTTAGTGCTTGATTTCTCACCTCAAGACTTAGCCACAGCACTATGTCTTGGGTTCTCTCTCACCCATCATTTGCCATTTCAGAGCACTGATTGCCCAATGCTCTCTGGACTTCTTCTGCTCCCTTTAGACTGAATTACTTCTTTTATTGTTACTTTTTTATTAATTCATTGGCAGAATGTTTTTTTCCACATTTTTATAAGGTTTGGCTCTGAAAGAAGTATTTATTATACATGTACTTTAACCCCAAAGGAAACCAGAAAAAAGTAAACTGGAACAAGAAATTAATTTTCAATTTACAGGGATATTAAGAGATGAAGTATGGCTAAAAAAATTTCCTGAAGTAAATAACCACCCTACTAGTCAATCCTTGTCATTAGTGTGGTTTGTCATAATACCAAATTAAATCCATTAAAAACATGTTCTGTGTTCTTTTAAACAAATATTTTTTTTCTAAATTTAAGCAAGAGGAAAAAGTCCATTCAAGGTAATAAATATTAGAGTGCTTACTACTTAAGGCACAGTGGTAGGCCCTGATTAGAATATTAAAAAGAGTAAGCCCCTGCCCTTGGCACTGGGTTGTGTGTCTTTGTCTTTCAAAAAGTTTGTGCACACACACACAAGTGTACACGGACAAAAGTCTGGGGTTTGTGAGGGAATCACACACATCCCACACTTTTGCCCCTGTCATCACCAGCAGGTCATATGAGTCACTTAACTCTCTTAAAATCACAAAATCCCTGCCCTCATGGAATTTGTATTCTAGGGTGGTGGTGGTGGGAACAGATGATAAGCAAATAAGTAAACCACGTAAGTGTTTAGATGAAAATAAAGCAGAGAGTGAGCTTAGGGAGCTCTTGGCATGGTGATGTTGCAAGTTCAAATTTAGTTAGCAGGGAGGGTCTCACCAAAACGGGGCCTGAAGTAATGCGCTGGGTGAAATAAAGGCGCTAGCTAAGAAGATACACTATGAGCAGTCCATCCCAAGCAGAGAGAACAGCAAGGGCCAAGGCCCCCAGGTGGGAGTGTGCCTGGGCTAGTCAAAGATGAATTAGGAAGAAGAGGAGTGTGGCTGGAACTGGCCAACTAGGGAGAGAGCAGTAGGAGAAAATTTAGAGAGCTAGGAAGTGGAGAGACTGGGTTCTACTCTGATGGGAAGCCACTGGGGGATTTTGTTGAGTGGAGGAGTGACATCTGATTTCCAGTTTAGGTAGATAATGACCCAAGGTGGTCATGGCCAGAAGCAGGAACAGAAGAAGCCACTACAGTATTCAGTTAAAGAGAAACAACTGTGGTAGAGGAAGCCGTGAGAAATGGTCAAATTCTGCATATATTTTGTTAGTGGAGCCATCACGATCTACTTAAGGATCACAGGTGGGTTGGGAAAGAATAAGGCGCAGTTGCCACCAACCAACTTTGCAAACTGGTTACACTCTCAGCATCACCTTTGTAAAAAGTGGAGATTTGTAAACGTCCTGACGCTACGTTTTCATTTCACACTAATCAGAATCACTAAGATTGTGGCCCTGGAAACAATACTTTAAAAATGCTTCCTAATGATTCTTCTGCAGCTCATTTGGCGAAAACGGGCCCGAGGCTCACTGGAATTACACGAACGACGCCGCGCCTTCGGGGGACAAATTGAGCACAGCACTGTGCAAAGCACTCGGGTTGGTGGGTTCGTGGACGGAGAGCTTCATCCCACTCCGATCCCTCTCGCAGGACGCAGCAACGCAGCAAAATGCATGAAGTGGGTCGAGCTAATCATGGAAGGCTTCCTGGAGGAGGCTAATTTGGACGAAGACTTCCTCAAGCCTTTATGAGGAGGGACGAAGGGGTGGGGAGAAGATTAAAGTAAAAGGTGATGGGGTGTGATTGACGGGTGACAGCTGGCGCACGCAAGCCCTCGGGTGGGAGCCCTCGCGGACCGAGACGCAACCCTTGAGCAGTCGCGGCGCTGGCGCGACTCCACGAGAGCCACGCCCCTCGCAGCCCGTGACTGGCCGGCGTCCCGCCGCCGCTGCCGGCGGCGCCAGTTTCCGGAAGGCCCTGATTTCCGAGCGGACCGAAGCGGAGGAAGGTCGCGCGCCCTCTTCCGCCCGAGTTCCGGCGCCTCAACACCCGGCTTCTGAGCGGAGCGGGCGCGCGCCGCCCCTCTGCGCAGGCGCGGTGTGGGGTCCCCGCGCGCGGCGCTATGCCGGCCGCGCACGTCTCGCGTGTCCGGGCATTGTATCGGCGCGTCTTGCTGCTGCACCGGGCGCTGCCCCCAGACCTCAAAGCCCTTGGCGATCAGTACGTGAAGGACGAATTTAGGAGGCATAAGACGGCCGGCGCTGCCGAGGCCCAGCGTTTCTTGCAGGAATGGGAGGCAAGTGACCGCCCCCCTTTACTTCGCTCTCGACCTTTGGGGTCCCCCAGCCGTGACCCGCTGTGTCCCAGTGAGAGGGACCGACTGGTTTCCCTGTGCCCCACGCGGGATCAAACGCAGCGACAGCCTGTTCCGTGTTAACTCAACAGCGCAAAGCTGTACTTAGCAAAGTTCCACTCCGATCCGGCCTGTTTCTCCCACCGGTTCCTCCGGGAGCTGATCCCGTTACATCAACGTCTGCAGTTCAGTTCGGCTGAGCTTTTGCCCTTTCCAGGCGCTGGAGCGGTGAGGACGGGAGGTCACAAAATTGAATAAACCACTGTCCAAAGTACTTAACCACTTAGCAGCTTTTTGTCCCCTCTAGTGGCTTGCACCGTAGCAAGCGCCTATTAATAGTTTTCTCATTACTAAGTTTTCAGACACAGAGGTTTGTTTCCATAATTCCTGTTGTTGTTGTTTTTTTAAATCTCATCGCTCTTGGTTGCGTGTTAATAATCTTGGTTCTCAGTTGACCGAGACAGAAATAAGTCATGATTGGGAAGGAGAAAAATGCTGGTCAGAGTTAAGGTGACAGGTGGTTTCTCCTGAGTCTCAAGTCATGCTACTTTGTTACATTGCTCTGCAGCATTGCAGGAAATCTCTAAGGAGACACGTGCATTTGGGATTAGCCCTTTGATTACCCCCACGACCCCCTTTGAGTTAAGGAAAAAGGTAAGAGTTATTTCATGGGGTTGCGGGGCATTGCAGGGTTGCCCCTAGTTCTGATGTGCATGAATGGAATTGGAGTTTAGAGCAACAACTCAGATGTTTGAAAAAGGAAGCTGTGTTGGCAATAAGAACAGGTTAAGTGGTTCTTCAGTCTAAAAAGTTGATGGCTGAAAAGGAGATGCCTGAAATCTGTTTTTAAGAAAATCCTAAAGGTTATGGTTAGAGTGAACACGGAATCTTTTCAATGAACCCCAGAATTCTTGATTGTAGAATTATTGAAACTTGCAAGAGGTACATTTAGGACAATGGTGAAATTCAGAACTTACCTAAATATCATGTATGTTAGCTGTAATTAGCCTGCCTGGAGCCAGGGAAATTGAATATTTTTAAATGCATACTGGTATCTTTTAATATGGTAATTGGGTCTTGGAGTCAAGAACTGGATTCAATTTCAGGTCCTGGCATTTATTAATGATCAGATCACTTAATTTTTCCTAGTCTTGTTTTCTAATCTGTAAAATAATAACAGTGTTTACAATATGCACCTCTAAATGTTTGTATATGTATTTAAAAGCACTTTGTAAATTGTTAATTGCAATGAAACTATAAGATATCGAGGTGTTTGTTAAGTGACTTTTTTTTTTTTAAGTGACATCTTTTAAGCCAGGTCAGTTGAAGGCAGGACAGGAAGGAGAGAGTCTAGCTCTGCGTTGGGAAGAAATAAGGGCCCTTTGAGAGGCCTTAAAGTATAAGAACTTGGAAAGTCTTTAGGGAAAGACTAGGAACTCAGAATACATTAATAGGCTGGAGGAGCACGAGAAGCATAAACAAAAACTGGGTACCGTATTTGCCGGCGTATAAGACGATTTTTTGGCCCTGAAAAATATGCCTCCAAGTGGGGGGTCGTCTTATACGCCAGGTACACTTCAGATAGACTGCCCATAGTGCTTGCCCCGTGCCATAGTGGCCTCCCGATGCCCGCCCACTTCATTCCACATACCGTTCAGGCATCAGCAGCGCTGCTGGGTGTATGCTCGGCTGTTATGCGATTTTGCTGTTATGCGATTTTACCACACTCGCAAAATCGCACACAGCCGACCATATAACAAACTCTGTATTTTGAGTGGAAATGTTAGGGGGTCGTCTTATACACCGAGTCGTCTTATACGCCGGCAAATACGGTAAATAAAAATGTGTTGATGAACCTAGGAGGCTTGGTATCAGCAATTTAGGTTTCTTTTCCCCCCTAACTCTTGAAATAATTTTAGACTTGTAAGTTACAAACTCAGTGCAGAGTTCCCTACATCCTACACTCAGCTTCCCCTTGTGTTAACATTTTCCATAACTATGGTGCAGTTATCAAAACTAAGAAATTAACATTGCTACAGTATTATTAACGACAGGCTTTAGTTACATTTTGCCCGTATTTCCACTAATGTTCTTATTCTGTCCTAGGATCCAATCCAGGATCCCACGTTGCATTTCATCATCCTGTTTCCTTAATTTTCTCTAGCCTATAACAGTTCCTGAATCTTTTCTTTCATGTCCTTGACACTTTTTTGAAAAGTATTGGTCCGTTATTTCATAGGTTGTCTCAATTTAGGTTTGTCTGATGTGTTCTCTTGATTAGATTGATGTTATGGGAAGGATACCACAAGGCTTATGTGCCCTTCTCAACACATCATACCAGAGGGCACATGATATCGACTTATTATTACTGGTGATGTTACCTGTGATCATTTGGTTAAGGTGATATCTGCCGGGTTTCTCCACTATAAAGTTACTATTTTCCCTTTTGAAATTAATACATATTTGGGGGAAATATTCTGAGACTATACAAATGTCCTGTTTCTCCTTAAACTCGGCCAACTGATTTTAGCATTCATTGCTGGATCTTGCCATAGTGTTCCAATGGTGACTTTGTTTCCCTCATTCCTTCTGAATTTATTAGTTGGAAATGTTTCTGTAGGGAAATGTCTCTTCTTCCCTATTAGTGACCTATTAATAGCATTTTTACTTTTTTTTTTTTTATGAAAAGTCTATTCCATCAGGCTAGGGCCTTATAGATATTGAGTTGGTAGCTGGGCAAAGATAAATTTCAAACTAGTGATCTAACTATTTGGATAAAATAATAGTTCTCGAAGTTGCAAGGCAGCTCAGCCTAAGCCTGGAAGTTAGAAGGGGTAGGATGAATTCTACCAAGAGATCCAGTTTCTTTTTGCCAAGGATGAGGGCTAGAGAAGATTCTGAGTTGGATGGAAAGGAGAAAAACTTGGCTAAGGCAGTGATATAGGAGAGTGATGTCTTTCAGCTTTCTAAGTCTCCCCCCGCCTTGTGTTCTTCAGAACATCTAATTTATGATTGTTATACTTGATGCTACTAGTTATGGCATGGATTTCTATCGTTTTTCAATAATGATGGTTACAAATTTGGTACACATTATCTATTACATAAGCTTGCTGCTTGTGTTTATATCACGCTAATTGAGATTGACACAATCCTGGACTTTGCTGTGTGGAGTTTGGTCTCTGGGATTCTCTCACATACTTCTAAAATTACTTACGAACTTGAATGGATTCTGAATTTGTTTTACTTTAAAAGGCAAAGTTGGGTATGGGTACCACTGGAGAAAAGAAAGAGGAAGGATCAGGAATGTTAGAAGCCCCAGGATTAGGCGAGTTTTATATTCCCTTCGTTTGTGATCACGGAAAACTGCAGCAAATATTAGAGCAGCGGTTCTCAACCTGTGGGTCGCGACCCCTTTGGGGGTCGAACGACCCTTTCACAGGGGTCGCCTAAGACCATCGGAAAACAAAAAGATATTTACATTACGATTCATAACAGTAGCAAAATTACAGTGATAGAGTAGCAACGAAAATAATTTTATGGTTGGGGGTCACCACAACATGAGGAACTGTATTAAGGGGTCGCGGCATTAGAAAGGTTGAGAACCGCTGGAGGGAATTCAGCTGGGGATTTCTATTCAAGGACCACTGGGGGAAGGTGGGAGGAAAGTGTTTCATTCTATCTTAAGGATAAAAATGTAAAAAATGAATTTATATAATTCCTTATCTTAGAAAAAAATGTAAGTTCAGGAAGAGATTTTGGGAATCTGTTAGGGTGAATGTTTCATAACTGGTTGGTAAAATATCCATTATAACCTTACTCCCAAGTCTGTTAGGAGGCAACGATTACAAGTGGAATTGGGGCTGGGTGGATCAGGGGTCTTTTATGGCATTTTCAAAGTGCTTACTATGCTCAGTTTTGAAGTATACCTGATTTAGGTAATGCTTTCCATTTTTCTCTCTGTGCCTACCCAGTTGTGGAGAGAAGAACTTCTTATCACTTATTTTCTGGGAAATCAGAATAAGCATTGGAGATTAAATAGGAAGTAAAATATAGTTGTGATAGAATGTGAGACAGAGTAAAAAACAGTGCGCTCTTAGGAGCTGCTTTGAAGAGACTCGATATGTTTAATCTTCCATTTTCTGGCCTGTTTATGTCTGTTGCTTTCTTAACTGGCTTCTGTTGTTTTTCTTAAGTAGCTCCTTTGTTTTGTGTCTGTTGGAGGAAGTTTATAATGAAGTTCTAGTTCTAGAAAAAGCAAAAAGGCTTACAACAGTCTATAAATAGTTATTGATCACTTATTGCCAGGCAAAGTGCTAGGCATTGTGGGACACAAAAAGGAATAATAACTATGTTTTATTTACACAGTCTCCAAAGTTTAGTGGCGTATAATAGACAATTATAATATAGCATGAAATGGTGCCTGCTAAATGCTAGGGAAGGAAGGAGGGAATGGAGGAAGTTGGAGGCCACATATGATGTCTATGCTGAATCCTGAGCAAGTCAAGGTTGCTTGAAAGTGTCAAGAAAAAAACTTTCTAGAAAGAGGGAATAACACATGCAGAGGTATTGAGGTAAGAAACCAAAACTTTTTCCAGGATCTGCAGTGTTGCGTTTGGAGTTGAGTGCCTTATATGGGAGATTAGGAAGAGATAAAGCTAGAGTGGTCGCAAGAGACAGGCTATTCTAAGAATTTTAGGTTTTTATTTCAAATCATTGAAAAGTTTTAAGCAGTGGTGGAAATGATTCAAATTCTGGAAAGATTAATTTAGCAGCAATATATGATTGAAGAGTAAGCCAGCTTGAAGGTAAGGAAATCTGTCCCAAATATATGTGCCTAAACCAAGACAGAGGATTGAGAATGGAGATTATGAATTTAGGTGATACCCTTTTTAAGGAAGAATGGGACTTGAGCTGGTGATTGATAAAGGATCTGTGAGGGAGAG